AGTTAGTGGCTGGACATTTTTTTTTTATTCCTGAGCCGACCCGCCATTGAAGCATATTTCTGTCTATAATTGATAAGAATGAGAGAAGTGAGGCAACAGTAACGGCAAAAGCAACTTATACGATGAATATACATACATACATATATGTTGTACTTGACGCTTGCAGGCACTGCCTTTAGAGCCCAATTCAAAGTCTATTTATTTATTATCATTTTCTTCACTTGATTCTTGCGGGGGGTTTCCCTTCTTTTTTTTTTTTATCTTTTCGCTTAAAAGATAATAATACCAAAAAAAAGTGAAAACCCAAAGACGAAAATCATACTGAAAAAGCGTAATAATAACATATATATATATATTTATGTATGTATGTATGAAATTATTTGCGTTTTTTTTACTGTGGATTTAACTAGAGAGAACAACACGAACAAAAAATGTAGTCACGTTGTTATTCTTTAAGTTCCCTCTTTGTTGTTGTTTTTTAAAAGAGGAATAGTAATATATATATGTATATATATATTGCATCATTGTTTCCTTTGTAGGATGAGACATCTGAGTGAAGGAATACTTTGCGGGGACAAAATATGAAAACATGAAGTGAGTATATGAATAGCTAAGTATTTAATGAAATACAGATTTACGTGAATTATTTCATTCTGTCTTCTTTTTTTTTTCCTGTTGTTGTTGTTGGGAGATGCTTTGAGCCGTTGCTGGATCATGTGGCGTGAATGAGAATTCCGTTATTTACTTCAGCAAACGACAAATACTAATAACAATGATAGTGGAGGAATGAATTTCTTTTTTGAATAGTAATAATAATAATGTAATATATGTGTTTGTTTGTATGTATGCATTATTATTATTGTTATTTGTTTTTGTTTTTGTTTTGGCATTTATTATTAGTTTATTTTGCTTGGTCTTTGCTTTATTATAATATTATTATTGTTATTTTTTATTGAGTTAATATTGTTATTATTATTACTTTTATTACTACGTTTTTCTCTTCCTTTTTATCTGCGTATTAATTTGTTTGGCGACATCTAACTGAAGAGTAGCACAATGCGTGGCGGATTTGGTCGTGGAGGTGGTGGGCGTGGCGGATTTCGAGGCGGCGGCAGGGGTGCTGCTGGTGCCGCTGGACGAGGCCGTGGATTTGGCTCACGAGGCGCTGGAAGGGGCGGCCCGGGGCGTGGAGGGCGTGGAGGAGGACGGGGAGGCCGCGGCGGAGGCGCCGGCGCCAAGGTTGTTGTGGAACCTCACATGCTTCACCCTGGTGTATTTATTTCCAAAGGGAAGGCGGATTCGCTTTGTACCCTGAACATGGTTCCCGGAGTCTCCGTTTACGGAGAAAAAAGGATCGAACTAGGGGCAACGCAAGGTGGCGATGAAAAGAAAGAGTATCGACTTTGGAATCCATATCGTTCAAAGCTCGCCGCCGCTATTTATGCTGGTGTTGGAAGTATTCATATGAAACCCGGCTCAAAGGTTCTTTACCTGGGAGGTGCAAGTGGTACGACGGTGAGTCATGTAAGCGATCTGGTGGGACCCGAAGGGATGGTTTACGCGGTAGAGTTTTCTAACCGCAGCGGTCGTGATCTCGTGGATATGTCGAAACGACGACCAAACATTGTTCCCATTATTGAGGATGCACGTTATCCGATGAAGTACCGAATGCTTGTACCGATAGTGGATTGCATTTTCATGGATGTTGCCCAACCAGATCAGGCACGTATTCTTGCCCTAAATGCCCAGGCATTTTTGAAGAATGGAGGACACTACGTCATTTCAATCAAGGCGAACTGCATTGACTCAACCTTGGAAGCTCCGGTTGTGATTGCGTCCGAATTGAATAAACTAAGAAAGGACCGTTTAAAGCCATTAGAGCAGGCTTCACTGGAGCCATTTGAGAGAGACCACGCCGTTGTAGTTGGAGTCTATCGATCCGTTAAGAAGTCGACCGAATGATAACTGTTTTAAGCTTTTAAAAAAAAAGAAAAGAAAAAGAGCAAAACCAAAACATGCATACATGCCTCCTGAAAAAGAGGCATACACTGGAGAAGAGAGTGATAGTAAAAGGCTTCACCTGAAGGGGAAAAAAAAGAAGAAAAAATTCACGGGCAGACGCGAAAATCAAATATCAAATGATTCGGGATAAATTCATTTTCTTTTTAAAAAAAAAGAACAAAAAAGCACAAAGACGAGCGTCGCTTTATTGTGATGACCTTGAGTCTTTA